ATTTTTTTTTTTTTTTTTTTTTTTTTTTTTTGCTTTCATATTCATCTTTTTAGCCATGGCCTGAGATTCGAAGAATCGAAATTGGGTCGTGGTAAGGGTGCTAGAGGTAGGTTTTATAAAACGATGACCTAAGTCTGTGTGCCTCGAATAGGCTAAGCACCTTAGGATCATGAGTGGTGATCAGGGGTCTAGACCTTAATGGTCCCAGACTAAGAAAGCCTAAACGAGCTAAAAGAGAAAGTGATAAAGTGAGAATCCGTGTATGAGGCATCATAGATACCTTAAGAACCTAGAAAACTTCCATGACACCTAAGGAGGATTAAAATAGCTCTTTAGGTCGCTAATAGTGTGAACAGTGTCACTAGAGTCTCTGCTTCCTTATCCTCTCAAGTACCTTGATGGTGTTATCAGTGACCGATGTCAGGTCTAATACTGCCCCCTACCAAGTGGTAGGTCTATAGGAGTAATATCATTAAGCTAGGCCTAGGTCGATAGGATAGCATGTTGAGGCAACTAAGTGCCATCGCTTTATGGAAATGGGTAGGGGTCTCCTGAACAAGGCCTTCATCCTATAAACCTATACAAAGGGGGCAAGGGAATACACAGTGGGCATAGTAACTGGCTGACACACAAAGTTGTTCTCCCAAATTTAGAGTGACTTTATGGTAGAAGTGAGATTCTTTCTTTTCTATTTCTTCTCAAGAAGCAAATTCAGTCAATTCCTTGAGAGCTGCTTTACCGGTGTCCACATGGAGAAGCCTCTCGTAAAGATGGAGATCTTACGCATATCTTGCTCATCCGACATGGCTTGGTTACACGGATTAAGAAAGAAGGAAAGCGAATAAGGAAGATTGAACTTGATCGGTAGTAATGAGATATCGGGGATTTCACGCAAAAATCCGAAATTTGAGATTTTCTCCTAATCTTCCATATATGAAGTTCAAAATAACATAAGTCATATTGACCTAAATTTTTTTTTTATTAAGGTAGCACTTACGAAAATCGTTGGGCATTCATTGTTGGGCATGATGTTGGGCATTCATTTTTTTTTTTTTATTAAGACATGATGTTGGGCATTCATTGCTAAGACAAAGCAAGTTACGAAAATCGAAATACAAAAGGGTTGAACAACCTTCACAGACTCAAGAGGTAACAATAAAAAAGGTGAATTGCTCAAAACTTTGAACCCTCTCTAGATGCTCATGTAACTATAGAGATTAGACATAAACTTTCTAAAGTCCAGACAAAAGCATGTGGTAAGCTACTTGGAAAATGATACGATGAGTGTTTACAATTTGATTACTGAGTATTTTTATATTCAACCAATTCTTCATTTCTTTTTTAGATTCCCAACTTTTAAAATTGGACTTTCGATAGATTCACTCTTTTATCCTATAATGAAATTAAGTCTCTAAAATTTTTAATAAAATCAAGTTCCTACCCTAAACAAAGAACCAAAAAAAAAAAATAATAATAAATAAATAGATTTTGAGTGGGCAAACAAATGTTTAGGCATGATTTGTGGTGTTTAACAGAATCCTAGGGAGCAACTGAACTTATAGGAAGTTGCGGTGATTCCAATGGTCTGAATCACGAGTACAAAAAATTGATAATTAGAGAGGAATTAAAAATTTAAAGACCTATTTAATATAAAACTTAAGTTTAAGGACATATAATATATAATATATAATTTTAATTTTTAGACAACTATTAGCCATACTCAAACTTTTCATAATTCATAAATTAAATAGATACAAATTTAAATTTAGATGCTAATCTTATAATTTAACTATAAATATAATACTCTCAAATGGTAGGACAGTGGATAATACTCTCAATAGTCCAAATATAACTTTTGAAACCAAACAAATCTTATTCAAAACTTTATTCATAATTTTGCCCAAGTATTTTTTTTTTTCAAGCTATGCATTTCACTAGGTATTTTATGTTAAACACAACTCTCCGTGGTAAACATTCGCACTTTTTATTAAGACCAATCGAGAACAGATGACAAGACAGTTTGTAGAATACTAAGTATTTCTTAGGATGAAAACCTACGTAGGGTTAAGGGTATTTGTACTAAACTCTCTCTCTAAAATATCTAGTTATTGTTATTCTAAAATATAAACTAAAATAAATATACAATGTACTCATACAATTATTCGACTTGACTTCATTGGACTAGTGATCACATTTTAACATTTTATTCTTATTACAAAGCGGATGCAATAATCCTTTGCTAATGGATATCAACTTCATCAACCAATTGTTCCACATTCATCAAGGCATCAAACTCTGCCATAAATCTTTCCATGGCTAAGGCAGGCAAGCACAGAGGCACCATAATTCCCTTTTCTCCTTTTTTATCCACGAAAGATATACAAAAGCTTAACGTACCAGGGAAAGTTCCGAACACTCCTGCCGTAAGTCCTCCATAAATGGTCTTTCCCCATCCAAAGTCCACCTCTTCAAACCCAACCCTCCTTAGGTCCGATACTATGTATGGCCAACCTGTAGTGAAAAGGGATCGTCCTTTCATCACTACAAGATCCAACAAAGACATTACGTACTCATTCGTCACCTTAGCCTTAGCCTTCCTAATCAATTCAACAGCATAACCTAGTGGGTTACCACAAAGATTTGCGACTGTGGTGAGTTCTGCCGGAAAAACCAAAACATTACCGTAATATCCTAATGGTAAAGAGTTGATCTTGGAACGTAGATTTACGGGGCAAAGAAAGCACACTTCCTCCTCTGGACTAAGTTGAAGGACTATGGTTCGGAGGCGCCAAACATAGGCTGCGATGAGCTCAAAGAATGAACAATGGCGAAGGTGGGCAGGTAAGGTTTGACGAAGGGCTGAGATTTTGAGGGGACTAAAAAATATGAAGCGGTGGGCCATGTTGTCGATTGGAATGGCGGTGTTGGTGGTGATAGGAACTTGGTCGTATTCAGGGTGGGGACAAGTTATTCTGGGAGGGTCCCTTGCGGTTAAGAGAGCTCTTTGCCATACCGGAAAAATTGATGGAGCATAGGCTCCACGAGCTATCTCTGCTATAGCCTTCATGAATTGGACGAGGCCGAAACCATCAGCCATTGTATGATTATAACGAAGAGCAAAAATGAAACCACCACACTTGAGTCGTGTCACCTACATGACCAATAAAGAGACAAAAACTCAAGTGTAGATTTGAACTTCAGACCTTAAGAAATAAATGGTAAGAAGATTTTTTTTTTTTTTTTTTTGTCACAATGATGAAAAAACTATAAAATAAATATTATATTCAAATCTAAAATAAATATGTTATATATACCTGGATGAACAATAATGGAGAATTAATGATACCATCAGAATTTGAAACCTTTTTTATAACATTTTGAAACCATGAAAGTGAAGATGAAAATTGAAGAGCATCGCCAAATTGTTCCAAGGTTACATCTGCATCTGCTTCAATGAACAAGATTCCTTCACCGGTACATTCTACAAATAGCTTTCTACCCGGCCCTTCTCTTAGCCTTCCTGCAAAAGGATAATAAAACACCAACGTCCTTGCAATTGCTTCTTTTATTATCTTTACTGGGTCTCGCCCTTCTAAATTTGGATTATGTTCATAGAAATTTAGTAATGGAATTTGAAATCTTAAGTTTTGGTGATCATCCATATCTGAGAGTTGCATAAATTCATGGGGTGTAGGATATGCTGGAACAATCACTTCTGGTTCACATTTTCGTACTTTGAAGGTAAAGTCAATGGTTGACATCATTGATATATGAAATAGAGAGGTATGTGAAAATATAGTGAATGAGTGAGTGTGAGGATGAAGATGTATTTAAAAGGAGTGGGATGAAGCTAAAAAGTGAATGAATATTGAAAAACCACTCGACACTTTTATTCATATAAGAAAGGTCGAAAGGATCGATTAACCTGAGAGAAGGATCCAAAACCAATACCTTTTAATAGATAACAGACAGGAGCAATCGTACTTTTCCTGGCAAGGAACTTCGCAATTGTGCGACACTCACTCCTAACACCTAGTGAGTCAAGTCAATTTGTATTCGCATCACCTACGGCCAGGCAACGTATACTCAAGCATCTGACCCCATTTGAGAATAATGTTTTAGAAAATGAGGATATAGAGATTTTTGGAAGCGAGTTTGAAAGTAAGAATGAGAAGATTTTAAAAGCTACGTTATGTAGCTATAAGCAAAAGGCAACACAATGGCTTAAATAACATATAACTTTGAGGGTGAGGAGAATTTGATAACTAGTCTCATTCACCTATGGTACATCTGAGGCAATTTAGTTATGGCAAGCCTAGACGTGATTTTGCAGAAGGGTCGTACAAAATCAATAAGGAAGAGGAGTTGACAACTAGTCACACCCCTATAGTACCTTTTGGGGCGATTTAGATCTTGCAGGCCTAGACATGATTTCGTGGGGTATTCATACGAACAAAAAATACAATATTAAAGCAATACAACATGAAATTAAATAAAGAGTTCGGCGTGCATAGACAGGTAGGATTTTACTAATAGAATTTATTTGTAATATCTAAGCCTCCACACCTATGCAATTATAAAAGCTAGTACCTTGAAATCTTTATTACTCACAAATTATTAGGATTTATTTTTCATCATTGACTTTTTGGTTTTTTTTAGTTGTAATCTCTCCATTATCTAACCCTCCCAGGAAATTAAAGACAGGAAGCTTAAGAGTCTCACATATTACAGCACATTGAGGTTTGGGGTTGTGTAAGCTCCTCTCCTCCACCATTGTTGGACCTCCAAGAAAACAATTACTTTGATGAAGTCCTTCACTTCAAAATAATGATATCTTTGGATTTTTGGAAAGTAATGGGGTCTTCTTTCGAGGGTTAATCAACCAAATGAATGCAATTAAAACTTATTTAATTGAAGTTATTATTTAAGAACAAAATTAATGGAAGCTACCCATTTTTACATTATTTTATACCTAATTTGAGGGTTTAAATTGGCCATTAAAAGTTTAGGTGGAATGGTAAGAAACACTTATTTATGAATTTTTATTTGTTTTGAATTCAACCACCCAGGCAATGAACTGATTTTTCTATTAAAAATAATGTTACCATTACCTAAGCTGATTTTTATATTATTTGCAGAAAAATTCATATAAAATAGTTGATAAACAATACTATAGTCTTAAAATGTTGAAAATAAAAATCTTTAAAACAATACAAAAATATATAAAACGAAAATAAATGTCGTAATAATTGTAACAACACTAGGCAAACAAAATATTGTCGTAATCTAACCCAAGACTAAGAAATAAACAGAATGCAACTATCCTAACACGGGTTCCATGACATTCATGGTGACGCGACCATCATCTGTACTGGGATCTTTATCTAAAATGTAAGAGCAGAACATGACTTGAATATTTTAAGAAATATTCAATAAGTAATCCCACTATTAAGGAGGTCGGGAAACACAAACACATGCAACATGATGAGACCTATCCTTTTAACATATCATAGCATGACCTTAGGAAGTTTTTTGATCCGGTACTTCTTTACATATGGCCCACACATGCGAGCATGAACTCGCCAGGCGAGCTCGCACAACCATAGGGTCTGACCTCACTAACGGGCTCTTGTTGAATACCAAAGATGGAAAAGACCCGCATAATATCATGACAAACATAAATGTTGAAAGTCATAAGTCGTAACATCTGAGTGGACTCATCATATTAGAGAAGTATCTCAATGCACGCGACACACAAATATGCATGAAGTCTCCATAGCTTATAATCATGCATAATGTATGATGCAAGACAAATCTTCATTTATTTATAACATAATAAGTCTGTGAATTATGCTTACCGGAATTTATGTACATTTTGAAATACATAACATAGCTTTCATGGCTTGGTCTATGGAGGTTTATGCACCAAAGATTATCAATTATGTAACAACTTTACACCACATAGCATGATCACAAAATAGCATAGCTTTATCATAACTTACCATAGCATAATGTGACATAAACATGACATAACATACATATGACATGTGCAGTGTAAGGCCCCCTAGGTTTTAGATATATATATATATATATATATATATATATTAAAATTAAAATAATAAAAGAAAGAGAAAAAAAAGTAGCTGATCAACTCTCCTTTAATCTCTCTACCCTTCCCTAAAATATCTCATTACCTATTAATAATTTTACAAACAAAACAGAAGAAGAAAAAGAAAATATTTTCTGGGAAGAAGAAAGGCATTCAATGGAGAGATGGTTAGACAAATAATATAAGAGAGATAGAGGTAAGCAGTCAGATTTACCTTTCCTTTTGCTCTTATTGAACAATATTAATACGTTACAATTATTTAGATCTATAATAGAAATTATGTTTGAGACCATTAAAATTGGTCAGAATACTTTTACAATAGATAAGAAAGAGAGAAGATTTGGAAAACAGATTCATATGAAAAAAAAATTACAGATAATAGAGAGGAAAGATGTGGGAACAAAAAAGAGAGATAAGAAAAAGGAAAGATTTGGATAGAGAGAGGACAGAACACTGTTAACAATATCAAAAGAAAAGAAATCAAAGAGAGAAGCAGAATACCTTTAACAAAATCAAAAGAAAAGAAATCTAAAAGAAAAAAGGAAAGAGGAATACAGAGAAGAAGAAGAAAAAAATAAAGGGAGCCTTAAAGCACGAAAAAGGAAACAGATAGAAGGCCAGCATACAAAACCAAAAGAAAAAAAAAATACATAGAAAGAGAAAAATAAAAGAAAAGAGTAGGGGGTAAGAATGGATTGAAATTTACCAATAATATGATTTAGTAAGAATCGATTAAAAATGGGCCAAGAATATCTCCGAACAAAAATTCAGAGATAGAACATAGTACCGAAAGAATATCAGAAGACAAGAAAATAGTCACTCCAAATAAAAAATAGAAAATGAAATCTTAATATACATAGAATATAGAAATAATATGTATATATATTTAGATGTATATTATAACGTTCTAAGACTTTATCCATGCAAAGTCTTTAATGCTCGCATGAAGTCTAGCACACGAACATTGTAAGAGTTAGAGAATTGAACGTGAAATTGATACCGTGGATTCATATAGGTTGGCTTGGATACAAAGGGCAAAATCGAACTTTCAATAAGGATAAATTGGTGACATCAGTATGAGCTAATAAGGTAAGTGATTTTGCTATAGGATAGGCTAAAGATTGTTTGAATTATGATGATGTATGAGTATGACGTGCTGTGATGAATGTTAAATGTACATTATTTATGTTTTGATGCATGACGTACATGTTATATGTGATACACTTAATGACTTCTATGATGAGTATGATGTATGCATGACAATGTTATTAACGTGATGATGTTTTCCATGTTGAACATGCCTTATGATGTTGTATGTCATATTGTATCATGTCGTAGATAGACATAGAACACAACCCTAAGAGTAAGAAAATGATATTAATGTAAATATCCGTGAGCACGTGTTACACAGTGTAACAAAGAGATGAGATTAGAGGGTTGTGTCAGAAGAGATGTATAATTAGATTTAGAGGGACCTCATGCATATTATATGTTCATAAGCATAGGGCTACTTCCCCTAGAGATGATGAGTGCGGACGCGAACCGTATGATGAGCGCAAATGCGCACAGATGAGGGTGTTCATGAGGCATATGACACTATGGGGTTCCGCTGACCTTCGGATGTCACTACAGATTAGCTTAACCAGAGGATCTAGGGGGTGTGCGAGCGCCCTGGGGATTCACAATCGCACGTGTGAGTCGTGTGTAGGGAAGTACTACACATCCAATTTGTCGGAGACTGGAGGTCGCCCTTATAATGTTTAAAGATAGGTCCCTAAATTATGATTGCATGTGTTTGCATTTGCATGCCCCCTATAGTAGGGCCAGTTACTGAGTATTCTTTGAAATACTCAGGCCGTGTGCCACATCATTTTTCAGGTAAAGGCAAGGCGTACTTGTACGGAGGATGGCGACATCGTGAGCAGAGACTGTGGCACGTGCATAGGGTGGACTCCTATTTAAATTCCTAGTCTTAAGTTAGAATAGGTTGTTTTGCATTTAATTGTTTTAAATTATTTTGTAGTTTTTTTTATTTTCTCTAAATTTCAGTATTTCGTATTTAAACACGTAAGACCATGACTGTGTTCTTCAGAGAAGAAGTTGTTTTAAGCATTTTTCGAAGTTTAAGTTATAAATGATGTTCATGTAAGAGTTATATCTCTGCATTAGAGATGAGCATGAAACGCTAGTAGCGAGTCTGAGTATGTGAAAATTTAGGGTCATTACAGTTGGTATCAGAGCTCTAGGTTTTAGATTCTATAGACTAGCCTACGATGTTGGCTTTGCACGTTCCATGGTCCCAACGTCGATGCCCCATCACCGTCAAGTACGCCTTGCATAAGATAAGAAAAGAGAAACGTTTTCGAACTCGCATGCATTTTTTTGTGGATATTACTGAAATTGTTGTGATATTTTATGTATTTACTATAGAGTATGATGTGATTTGTCGCTTGCTGAGTGATTTTGTTTACAATATGATGTGAGTTTAGTATATGTATTTTTAATAATATGTATGCATAGTGATGAGACTTAGACTTAGGCAACCCTATCTTGGTTTCTAGCACTATGCTGCCTATACCACGCGAAAAAGACGAGGAAGAGGACGACCCATATTAGAGAAAGATGACGAGGTGAGGTTGAAGAGAACCCGCGTCAAGGT